AATAAAGACGAAAAGAAACAGGATCCGGATTGCATTGTTTCATTTGACCAAATACACAACTTTTTTAATGCTGATTTGGGTCTTCTATAAACTGAAATTGTTGACATATTGACATTTAAATAAAAAAGTCAAGAAAATTAAAACCTTGCCGTCCTGAATAGAAAAGAATAGAAAAGTCTACATTTTCTGACTTTAATAAGTAATTATATTTTTATTATCTCTGCAAGTTGTTGTGTCCCTTGAAGACATTTTAAATCGTTCTGTTTGTTCCATCACTGTTCTGGGTATAATTCTATGATATTGGTTCTATTTTAATTTGGATTCATCTTTGTGATTGCTCAACTGTTCTCATCGAAGAGGAAGTTCTTACACCAGTCGATTTCTTTGACTTAAGTTGATTTACTGTAGGGGTGTATCCAGGGTTTGTTAAAATGCATTTAAAGATGGATATTTTCCTGTAATGTTTAATGATCTTTGTTAATTTCTCACTTCCAAGATAACATGCCTCTGTGTTTTTCCCCCTTCTCATAATGAGTGTGAAATGCTCCATAGCTTAACATAACGAGAAAAGATACGAGTGTGTCTCAGGGGACTGATATCCAGACCTGCTGGAGTATCTCTCCATTAAGACCTCTCCCCTCTCCTCCCCAGCTATGCAATTAATAATGCATGAGAGCTAAGTCATTTTTGCTGCCTGCCATTGCTGACATTTCAGCTATGAAGGGAGGCACCAGAGTGCAGGTGTGACCGAGAACAAATCATTTGATTTTATAATTTAAAGTAGCAGCACGGGCTTCACATCGCAGGCAGCAACACAGAGAGGTGTTTTGATACACAGAGGTATTTCAGACTCCATTTGCCCCTTTGTGTATAGGATCACTTGAGGAAAGTGTTATTTTAAGTCATACGAGTCGTGGTTTAGAGTGTACCATATGCATGTGACAAATGGCGACATTTAGTACGGCCTATTTTGGATCTTTACATTCTCTTACTTTTAATTGGCCTATTTTTACAGTAGGCAACATAAATAGTCTTAGACAGTCTCACGTCTACAGATGCAACCAGAGTATCAGTTAACTGATGGTAATGCTTAAAGGCCAAAAGTCAACAAAAGTCTTAACTGTTCTTACTGACCAACTATACTGTATTTCTTTTGTGGGTTTAAAAATCCCAATGCTTTCAGATCTGCTTCGGACTAAAACTCCATCCTCATGTCTCTAAGATCTTCTGATCAGCAGTTTTTGGTTCTCTCAGTCAAGATTTTTTTTGAATGCAGCTCCAAAAATTGTAGAATGAAATGCCTTCAAAAAATTGACAGGCCCCTTCAATGCACCTCACTTTGATCCTTAGACCTACTTAAAGGGGACATATTATGCAAAATAGAATTTGTGTCAGTTCCAAGTGCCTGTTAAGTTCTAGTTTAAACAGCTAAGTAGCCATTTTATCATCTGCCAGAATCTGAAATGTGTCTCAAAATGAGCCAGATATAATAATCCTGGCTGCCACACTACTTCAGCTTTTCACTCTATCGACACCTGCACCGTTGTCTTCTAGCACGTAGCTAAATAAACTGCTTTGTTATCTAAACACTTGAGGTACTAGAAGAGGGTTGTCATCAGTAACAAGACAATGCAGACAGTCAGTTTGGTTAGTCTACTAATGACAAGTGAACAAATGTAACTACTAACCAATGACAAACATGCAGGTTCATTCTTGGCTCTCAACTTCTTCTCAAACATTTGGTGTCCTGTCGGTTTACCGTTGCTGACAGAATGACATACACTTGCTCAGCTCATGCTTACAGAAGAAAAACACTTGACTGCCTACCTGTGTTATGCCAAAATGATATTCTGTGCTATTATCCACCATTTGACTTGTGCTGAAACTCACTCAGTCAGTGGAAAAACACGGTAACGACCACCCTGACCTTATGTGTGCTTGCCATTGGTGGGAGATGCTGCTCATTATCTGTTCTCTGGTTCCTGTAAGACCTTGAAGATCGCATGTACATACTCCCTGTTTCTGAGTTTCTGTTAGGCTAGATACTCTCACAGGTGGAGATGGTTCTGAGCTTCATTAAAGCTTTGATAACAAACACTACTTAAAAGAAACAATGTTGTTTATTTTCTGTTTTATTCTTATTCCAAGGTGACTGTCGACAAAATTGCAAAAACACATGTCACTGACATCAACCTCTCCCTTTTTGTTCTCCCATGGAAGAGTTGGAAGGAGAATCAGGAAAATAATACCATTTAAAGGTGCAGGCACAGAAACCTGCTCTTCAGATCATGGCTGTTAAAAAGGTGTGCAAACCAACTGTTATCAGTCGCTGCTGGTTTGTAGACAAAGCAGGTTTTTATAATTTCATTTAGAACCAAATAAATTTGCATAAAAGTGGCACGGATGTGATGTTTAAAGCATGACACTATGTCATGCTTCGACACATCAATCTTGCTCTGCATATTACTGTTATTGTTCTATGCACCTTTTCGCTGATGATATATTTTTGTGTGTCATGCTTATTTGGTAAAGCTTGATGTCAGGTTGGTGGCTTACATACTATTGATCTGTGGCCCAAAAAAGTTAGGGACCTCTATATTGGACAACACGACTAGGCTACAGTGTTTGCCTTTCATTTTCCTTATTTATTTTTAATGGGATATTATCCCTTGCATTTTAATTAAAGTGCTTGTCTAGCGGTCAGTCACTGGAATGACCGAACCTAAATGAGGTTTTCTCCTATTAATGCAGACACATGCAGCTCTTAATGAAAGAGATGGAAGCTGTTTGTACCTGACTTTAGTGTGTTTTAGCAGTTAGCTCTGATGAGCTCCCTTAACTCAAATGATCTAAGACATAGGCTGAATAATAATATTAGGGTAACATTTTGGACAACAGTGTCTATTAAAGCCATGCTTCAGAAACACAGAATGTGCTGTGGATTATTATTTTGCCTTTGTAGCGCAGCGAGTCAAACACCATTTTATGGATGGTTTTATCACGTGTGAAATAGACAAAAAAAAAAGTGCTGGTGAGAATATAATATGGCAACACAGGCTGGTTATCACTGGATTTTATCATTCAAAGTTACTGCGTGTTGAAAGTCATGTCACATGATTAGCCGTTTGTTTGTTAGCTCATGTTTGGCTGCTGTTAATGACTGAACAGACACTCAAAACAAAGAACAGGACGACCCCTCGATGTTCAACAATAAATGCCGCTCAAGGAATAAAAGCTACACCAACAAAAACAAAATAAGTTTTTCAACAAGCACAGGCACCAAAGACAATCTTAGGAGAAACACTTAACGGCAGCTCCACCAATGCCCTTGGGGCAGTTTGGTACTTCTTCAATCCTGAGCTGAATTACGATCTCCATTTAGAGGACAATTGATCCAACAGGGGCAAGAGCTGGTTGAAGAGCATGGTAAAACACCCATACATGTGGTGATGTATGCTCTATGGGTGTCATCCTTCTTCTACACAGGCTAATACATTATGGCTTGAGGCATGAGAGATTCAATCTTATACCTCCCTGAGGGAAAAGCACCACCCACTTAAAACACCTCCAGCTGCCCAGACCAGTTACCTGCTCACCCATTAGTGCACTTATAAATCCGAAATGTGAAGGTCAGAGAAGGAATGTTGCATATTTGATAATAGAAACACCTACTGGTTGGTAATGATCTGAGTTACTGGTTTAAATCACTGGATTGACAAAAATACCAGTCAGTGTTGCAGTCTTCCTTCAACTGGATTTGCCTTTGGCTTCAAAGTCAAACTGAAACTCTTCTGTTCAATATGCAATAAATACAATGCAACTCCCTCCAACATTTCCAGGAACGTGGAGCCTCTGAGTGAAAGTCAACAGAGGAAAAAAAAAAAAAAAAAACAGAGCAGAGATCTTTGCCAATATATCACATTGGTTATAAAGAGAAAAAAACCCTGATGGCTAGATTGTCATCTTTTCCTCTCACACAGCAAATAATTTTGCTGGTTTGCCAAAATGATGTGGAATTGGAAAGCTAAAGTTACTCACACAGCAGAATGTCAGTAATAATAGTTGTAGCCGCTGTTTTATTTTCACCACTATCAATGATATTTATCTTACTTTATGACCCTATCAACAAGAATTTCATCAAACATGCTGTTCTATGGTTTTACCAATAAAGCAATTTTTGTTATAATTATAGCTGGGACTTTAATTTAGATTAATTAGCTACATACAAAAGATACCTACAACTTCAACAATCTCAATCGAGCACATCTTATAATAGCACACTAGTAACACTGACTACACCCCAGTAGGTGGCAGTAATGCACTAGAGGTTTATTTGCAAGGCAATAGAAAACTTTCAAGATACAGTAGACAGAGTGAAATAAGAACACTACAGGTTTGTCAATCATTGTTGCAGGATTACACTGCGTTACTTTGCGGAAAGTTTTCCTACTGATGCATTTCTATCCCCCTGTATCTTTTCAAAACAAAACACGTTCATCCAAGCACAGACACCAGAGCTAACATTAGCTATGACAGTCCAGGTACAGGCCACAGAGGACCAGATGACAACGTCCATGGCATATCCCTTAACACCAATGACACTTTGAACATGAGAAGCCAATTGAAGAGTGTCTACTGAAATATTAAATTCTGAATATGAATATATCTGCAACTGAAACATATGACTCTAGCAAGGGCAGAGAGAGGCGTGGTTGCTTTACTAACTCTGATGCATACCTTTACCAAACACCATAGCTCTAATATAAACACAACTAAAAGAAATGAGCATTTGTAGGAACTTATATATATATTGCAATCACATGAACATGTATTAACACAAAACATAAACAGGCAATCACCAGTTAAAATGTACTGATTTGCAATTAATTTGCATTAATTACATTAATTTGCAATTAATAGAATAGAAAATAATAACACCCAAGGTTTTTGTAAAACAGTTGTTGGCTCGCATGTTGAAAAAAAGCTTTTTCTGTACTCACCGATCCATGAAAATGCAAGTTCGACGAACAGCTTCCTCAAACCCTCTGTCTCATGGGAACAGCGAGATGAAATGCGTCAGCAGCGGGAAGTTCGAAGCACCCTCTACAGCAGTGGCGTGCGTTCAGGGGAGGCAGGGAAGGCAGTGCCATCATGATAAAAAAGAAAAAAAGTACATAAAATAAATATTTTCCACTGATCTGTGTTTAAGATGCATTTTCAGTATGACTCTACACATTTTGACATTTTATTAAGTAAAAATATCTGAGATGGGGATTTCGCAATTAAATACAAATCCCGGGTGAGGCAGTGGAGAGCTGTGCCTCACTTCTGATTGCACGATCCAATACAAACTGGGTCACATGGTGCATGTCCATTTCTGTTCCTCAGCATATCGGCAACTTCTCTGTCATTGGTGTGGAACCCCAGGGTTCACCTCCTAGGCAAGATCAAATCCTGGTTAGTGCAGTTGGTACCTTCCAGTGGACTCACCACCGGCAGGAAGGTTCAGAGGGGGTTGGTACGGTGCAGTGTAATTTGGGTGGAGACTGCTGCCCCCACAACACGGTAACAGATAAGCGGATGAAAATGGATGGATGGATAAATGGTACACTGCAGAAAATATTTGCAAAGAAGCCTTAGCAGACATGAAAGCTCAGCCATGCATATTCAAAGCCAGATTTCTTTAAAAACTTTTGAAAATTCAAGGACCGATTTGGCATTGGATGAGCAAAGGAGACTAGACATTAGTGTCCACAATACTAAGGTGAGGGAAAACCGAGAGATACAACCATGGACTTCATCTATAAGTAAAGGTAAGGCTAAAAATGGTTAAGTTTTTGTTGGTTTTGTTTTTTTGTTGTTTTTTTTTTTTTAAAGATGTGTTTTAGTAAAAAAAATTCAAGTATTGAATAACTACATTTTGGCCTAACATTTTTACTTTTGTTTTTCAATCAAATGTTGTCTATTTTGGTAGACAATCTTTCATTAAAGCACCACAATTTAATGTTTGAAACACTTTTACTGAAGGTCAAAAGTAAAATTTGTGCTGCACTCATCTCTTTATTTTAATTTGTTTACAGTAAATATGAATTGCTTACACATAGGGAGGCTGCTCTCTCCATTTCTATGAAAGAAACGTTCTTTGTAGGACAAATATGTCCCTGTGTATGTTTGTGTTGGTGTAAGGTTCATTGAAAGAGGAATGCTGATGGATATGAAGCATTGTCAGGTGCATGCTGTTGGATGAATAGTGAAATATAATGCCCTTTTGGTTCTTACAGTTGTAAATCTTACTCCAAATGAGTCAGTTCCTCACCAGCCATGAACGTCAGCGTCCTATAGCAGTAACCGCAACCTCTGTAGCAGCGGGCTGCAGGCCGACATGTAGGCTTCGAGGTCCACTAAACAGAAATTAACATAAATAATAACTAAATAGTAACACTACACTTAGACAACATCCATATGATTACCATTTCACACAGCGTTCATACTTACTCAATGACTTGGCGCAAAATACACCGCCCACACATAGTCTCCTTCTTCCAACTATTAATAGCTATGCTAACAACAATTAGCTCTCCTTTTTTTAATCCCACCCCTTTCGCAGAATCTTATAGGTGGTTTACGCTTATCTCTGACAGGCACTAATTGGTTCATAACAGATTTACTGAAAGACTGGCACCTGACTACCCAAATAAACAGCATAGCCGGCACGTAACATTCAAAGACATCAATAAAACATGGGACATTTCAATATCTTTCGAAATAAATTGTCTACCATACGTTCTACTTTATTTTAACCCTTGTTTATAAATCCTAAACGGTAACATTTGTAGCGGGGAACTACATGTAGACTGATGACCTGGTCGTTAAATAGTGGCGCTTTGGCCCAGAGGCAATGTCTCTGTCATTGGTGTAAAACCCCAGGATTTACCTCCTGGGCAAGTTTGAATCCCGGATGGATGGATGGTCCTTAAATAAAAATAATTTAAATAAACCATGCTCTGTTAGTCAAATATTGCTTTTTAGTGTGTGATTAAAGTCCCTGATAAAAAAAAACAATTTTTATCACATCATACCATTAGTTATTTTGCTACAGTCAAATTAGAGATTTTTTCAAGAATTCATGGAAGAACTGAATCATTCTTATTTCTTTTTAGTTTGGCAAACTTGTGAAATGACTGTGAGGCTGCATGTCAAAAGACTGCTTCTGACCAGTGCTCCCCACTTTGTATTCTGAGCCCTCGGTGAGTTGTTCTTCTTTATTAGAAGTGACAGAGATGCGGCCGAGGCTGACTCCAAAGTAGAAACACAGACAGCTTCAAGTCAATTGTCTGCTGCACTGAAATGTGCACTGAGTTAGAGATGGGTTACTGCTGCTCTGGACATCAAACACACACACACATACAAGCAATTCTGAACTTCAAAACTTAGACTTCAAGAAGAACTAAAGTCATGTGCTTTTTGAGATATTTCTCCCACAATAGTTAATTAAAATTAGGACGGGGCAACATTATATTTGCATGACTTTATTGCTTATCTTATCACTGTTAATTGAGACTGGTGAACTGTCCAGGTCATAACCCAGCCTCGCCTGATGACCACTGGGAGTGCCTCCAACTCTGTCCATGACCCTGAAAGAGGGTCAGCAGTAGCAGATAAATGAAACAATACATGAAGGAATGGATTTTTAATGGTGATTTATCACATCCTCATCTTACACAGTGAATCAAAGTCAGTCTTGTCTCTTGAGTTTGTCTCTGATCTCTTTACCAGGTCTCCCTCTGACTTAACTGCACATACGGTGACCTTGTTAAAGTCTTTTGACACCGTCTGAATCAGTACCAGGCCCCTCCCGGTGATCCAACACTTAGAATTAAAGGAAAGTGAACCAGACTTTTCTTTTTCATCAGGGCCGATGTAATTCAGAACAACCTGCCCGGGGCAGCAATAACTGAATCAATGTCATCTTAATGTCACAAAATATATTTTTGAAGGAGTATTTTATTGTGGTACTAGGAGAAAAATCCCATCTTGGAAGTACAGTGCCTCGGATCGGTTCTCCTCCACAGTCCTAATCCCGTTATTTACTTGTGGGTCAGACGTTTGTCCTGATCTGACTGTTGACGTGTTCAAGGTGTGGCCTGTGGTTCAGAGGGGAGTGGGAGTCTTCATGGACAGGCTATGACAGGAAGGACTGGTACAAATAATTAAAGAGGTTCTTATTTGACTTGTGCGAGTCAATTTGACGACTCTTTACAGTTTAAAAGGACGAAAAAGCAGCAGAAGGTTTGTTTATTGAGCGTCACTCTTTATGCACAATTTCAGAGAGTGCTGCAATGGAGCTGGATTTATTTTATTTTATTTTGGTGAGTCTGAATTCAACTATTCTAAAAACATATCATTAGGCTATTGGGCTATTTACTGTATGATTGATATTTTCAGCAGTGCAAATTTATATTTCCTCCCCAATGTTTAATCAATTCCAATTACCCCGCCAAGTCCAGAGAGAAGAGGATATTTATTGTGCACACAGTGATGCCCCAGGAGACGTGTCAGTCACAAAACACCCATCTGCATAACTTATGAAGGGAAGTGTGTTGCCCTTGGAGCTGAAGCTGTCGTGATTAATTTCACCTCTTTTTTATGTTCACATTTGAACTCCATCACCAAAGAATGGGGGTTTCTGTGACAGTGATTGAGGGACAAGGACTGGCTCATTTGCACAGAAAAGAGAGCTGGGGGAGAGTGGAGGAATGGGTGGGCATGTGCTGACTCTTCATAGATTAGTCACTTCAGCTGAGACCACTGTGTTGCACAGAGTGCACGCAACCATTCACCTCTTTCTGCAAACCATGCTGACCTATTGACTTTTTCTTAATCTGAGAGAGATGCAAACACACATTTGCATAAGAGCAGGCTGAGAAGTGCAGCGAGGATCTCAGTGAAACTGCACCACTGTTTTCTTTAAATTAGAAAATGAAATTAACTGGAAGCTGCAGGACATCAGAGGTTCTGAGATGGTTCAATTTGTGACGACAACATACAGTATTTAAGGTTTAAAACCAAGCGGTAAAACTTTAATATAACATTTGGGTCTGAATCTGATTATCCATACATCCATCGATCCACTAATCCAAATATCCATCTACAAATGAAAGTGAAAGTAATTTATTGTCATTGATGCACAGCACACCACTGCACACAATGAAATTTGTCCACTGCCATCAGCAGCTCAAGAGCCCACTGTGAGAGGACATTAGTGCATCAGCATGGCACCTGGTGACTGGCGGATTTGAACCTCCAACCTCCAGGACACAAGTTTTCCTCCTTAACTAATAGGCCACCACATATATCCATCCCCCATATCCATCCAGCCATAAATCATTCCACACATCCATTGATCCACTAATCCATCCATCCAGCCACACATTTATCCAACCATTAATCCAGCTACATATCCTCTACATAACCAATAGTACCAGCAGAGTGGCGCAGCGGAAGCGTGCTGGGCCCATAACCCAGAAGTCGATGGATCCTCTGCTAACATGACTTTACCTATTTTTTTTTCTTTCTGAGTGATTCCTGACAAAGTCCTACAGTTTCTTAACGCATATCCGAACAATCCAAACACAGGGGGCAAAAGCCAATCAACTCCTAACCAAGGGCAGCACGAGCAACCAATCAGCGAGCTGTTCGGTGAGGTACTGCCCATACTTCCGCCGCAAGCTTCTGCCTGCTTCTGTGGTTGCTTGTCACGTGGAGCTTCTCCTGGGCTTCATCTCTCGGCGACGACCAAATGTTTGTTTGAAAAACGAAAGTGCACGTTTCCGGTATAATTTAAAAGCTTTTGCTACTTATGCAGAAAACCAGGAAGAGGAACTGACGTAAATTAAATTATTAGGTGAAAGACTTTATAAATCTGTGTGTACAAATAAATACAAAATTAAAACAAATGATTTAATAATCAATAAATAAAAACAGAAATAAATAAAAAAAAATGCATGAGAAGTTTCTTGATGACATTTTAGATCTTCAATCATGTCCATCCACTAGGTAGTAGGTTCCAGTTGCAAATTCTATGTATTGAATTTTTAATTCAATTAACTCCGGGACATAAACAACACAAATTAAACTTTTTTTTTTTTCAATTTCTCAGTTTCAGATGGTTATTGAACTTCTTTCTTCTTTCAAAATAATCTCTGGTGAATCCACACAATGTCCGAGGTTTATCCAATACGGGACCTCACGCTGGAAAGTGGAACAAGGGGATCATTTGTGTTCAAAACACTGCAAGCTCTTAGCCAATAATAAGTGGTTGCAGCAGAGCTAGGAGTGACAAAAAGACTCACGTTTACTTATGAAAACATTTAAATATGAAAACCATCGGCTGCCTGGGGGTCGCTGGCCATTTTGGCATCAAATCGTAACAATGAAAGCAGCCTCGAAAGCCCCGGCGTCCTCTGGTGACTGTGACAATTACAATAGCTTGGCAGAAGGCGGACGGGGGTGAGTGAGGGGGAACACACTGGCAGGGGATCCTTTGTTTGGCTCTGGCCTGTCGTATGCACTGTTTGTTTCCATCAATTTTATGAATCTACCTCTGGTGTAAACACAAAGTAGCTGTGCAATTACTCAAAATTCAAAAGAGATGTCTTTGGCAAACAAGTGGCAGCAACAGTCGGTCACAGGGAGGCTGTTAAGACTATGTTTCCACTGACGTAAACCTGTGGAACACAGGATTCCATCATTAAATAACTCACTGAAATATTTAAAGGGTCACAAAAAGTATTTGTCACTGTAAATATAAGCAGGGTACCTTCCTTCTGTAGGTCCTAGTCCTCGTTTCCTTAATTTTATTTTTTTTTTACATTAACCATTGATTGTAGTTTGACTAACAAAGTTGATGGGAAGATATATTTTCTTTAACTATTGGTAAAATAGTGGATGTCAAAAAACAAAGAGCACAAAAATATTGTAGAAGTGTAACTGGACCAGAGTGCAAAAATACACAGTATACGTGTTTTTGTGTTTCTGTGTTTCTGTGCATATTTCTGCCATTTGAAGTGGTACTTTATTTTACACCGAACCTTTGGCTAATAAATATTCCTAATATACGTATAAATTCACTTTTTTGTATTCCGGTCTAATTTTAACAGCACAGGCCAGTGCTACTGTATTTTCATGATAATCATACTGACATGGTTATTTCAGAATGTTACATGGTGAACCAATAGATGGAACATGAAGCAGTGTAAAATAGACCCAGTAGGTGGCAGTAATGAAAGTAACAAAATTAAGATGATAAAGCCCAGAGAAGAGAGGAGGCTAAGGATGTTAGCAGGGTTATCTCAGGCTTGGCCTTGATGATGACTGACAAAAAATGAAATGCTAACATGCTCCATGTCTTAATATGTTGCGTTTTAGCCTGCTGCTAACACAGTAAATAATAGCGCTGTATGCTACGTTTTGTTGGGTTTTATCAGAGAATGAGTTACCACTTTAAACAGTAACCTTATTTCTTGGTGAAAATGTTTTCACTCACAGTTTACAGAATCTGATTTATATTTTTTAAAAACACACCAGTTTATGCCCTTATGGAGCAAGATCTTCATATGAATACTTAGCTCCATGCGCAAAATGTCACAATAGCTGAACATAACTGCAGACACACAATGACATGTCAGGGTTTTTAACCAAAAATTAAGTATTTATTTTTGTCATTTTCTTCTTATATTCACTAAATTTTGTGTTTAAAGTAAACATTGAATAGTGTCTGGATAATTCTTTCCTCTTAATTAGATACAACCATTGTTCTCATTATTAACCCACTCTCCCATAATATAAAGGGAAGCGTAATATCAAAAACATAACCAAATTTCCCAGGACAACAAAATCAACTCAACAAACAAAATAAACATATACACACACACACATAAACATGAGTGTAACCACTCATGACACACACTTCCACTGACAAACACACACACACACACACACACACACACATCTGGATTGAAGATTGGCTCTCAGTGGGACGAAGCTGGCCATTGGCCAATTCCATGAAACTGTCATTTTGATTAGTCTTAAATCACTGCTGCAGTTTGTGCCTTATTGCCTTACAAATGGCTCTGGAGAGGATAAGAAAATAAATTGAACACACACTTGTCCTCAGTTTGTGACCTTCTTAAACCCCCACAATGAATCACCAAAGTACAGCAAAAGTGTGTCGGCATGATGTGTCGAGACAAAACAGTTTCCCTTCACTGTAACTGATTTCTTTGCCTTTTTTTACTCTGTTATCAGTCTTAGGAAGGCTATTATCATCATTATTATTTTTACAAAAGTGGCCATAGAAAATAAATACAAATATTATCCAGACGGTAAATTCTTAAATGAGCCAGCCTCCAATTCTGTGTCAGCAGTGTCCTCTGGCCCCACAGTCCCTTCTCCCCTCAGTTGTCTCTCTGTCCTATATTGTAATGTCAACGTCCTCCGTTCCATTTTGCTCTCTCTACTATCAAAAGTGTCATGGTGTGAATAAATAAATAAATACATAAAAACAAATAAATACATAAATATCCCCTCTGTGAATAAATACATGTCGGTCAGAGCAGTTTGTCTTGACATGTTTTTGCTCTCTTTCTGTTTTACTCCTAAAACCATCTCAAAGTATAATGAAATTACTTTTTTATTTATGATATTAAAGATGAAAAGAAAAATCCCTTTCACTTGCCTTAACAGCAGTGGTTTAAAATCCTCATCAAAGCTTTTATGTTTAGAAAAAAAAAAAGTCATAAAACCAATCAGAAAAGTTTAAAATAAAAAAATTCAAAGTTCAAACTTTGACACTGAGAACTTTCTTTCAAAGAGATAAAGAAGCTGTGCTCTGTTTTAAGGGGGTACACAGTGCTGCCTCTGATGGTCTCCATAGAGGGCCAGAGGATGAGAGGGGGAGACGGAGGAGGAGGAAAAAAGGGAGAGGAAATTTTAATGTTTATTAAGCAGAGGAGAATCTCTGCTAGGATCCTTCCTCCTCAGGGTTTCCTGGAGCGTAGTAGCCTGCCAGTTGCCTGAAACGTGGTCCCCAGTCGCTGAGGTAGGAGAAATCCTGCTCCGATGTCGTGGAGAGCGTGTGGATGGAGCTGAGCGAAAGTGCCGGAGAACTGCTGCCCTCAAAGGCGTACGTCTGGAAGGAGTCGTACGGGGGAACGGACAGGTCGGCGTCAGCCTGCTCTACTTTCTTTTTGATGTAGCCTTTAAACAGGGAGAAGTCGGCCGTGGCTGCGGCTGCGGCTGCAGCGTCCACGAAAAACGGCGCTCTGCTCGCCTGCATCCACTGTGGCAGTGAGAGAAGGTCTGGACCAGAGTCAGAGTTCTTGGCCTCAGGGAAGTCGTAAAGGTTTCTCAGGGCACTCATGTCGTAGGCCTGAGTGTCCTGCTCTCCTCCGCCCTCGTCATTGTACTTGATGACGTTGTCCCTCATGTCCTCCTCATCCTCTGTCATCTTCTGGCCCTTCCTGTGGCGTTTGAGGGTCAGGATCAGCAGCAAGAGGACTGATTGAGGAACACAGAGAAGATAAAAAGTTAATTTTTCCATAGAAGCAGCTGCATTAACACGTTCATACAATCCTGATTGGTAAGTTTCCATATAAAAATATTTCATAGGTCTTTGTAAATTTTTTTAAATTTAGATTATTATTTTAATTATTCCTATTTTTTTTTTTAAAAAGTAAGAAAATTTCACATGACATTAAAGTCCATCCACAGACATTTTCCGTTCAATATCAAACTTGGAATTTCATTCCTTTGGCTCTGCTTTAATAACCTGTAAATGTGATGGAGACGTTGCACTCAGGTCTGGTTATAATTTAATGTCTGCTTCACCTCTTGGGCCAAATCCACAAAAGGGAAAAATACTAAATTATGAAGTTTTACATTATAAATGCATGAACATTGATTTTTTTTTTTGTACGACTGTGATTGCCTGGTCCAGAAATATGATTCCAACTCCTTAATGGAGACCAATCTGTATATCAATACTCATCTAAGTTAAATGAAACACTGTGATATTACTGCTTTAAACAAAAGGCAGACTGATCCTCTATTTCCATTCTCCAAAAATGCTCAGAAAAACATTGGAGTTTAAAGCAGAGAGAAAAATAAAAAGAGCTCTGATATAGATGTGGGTAATAAAGAACCCCTTTAGTATTAGGTTTCATTTCAGCAGTTCGTCAGCCCTCATTCCAACTCTATCACCTTCATAGTACCCTCCATCCGACATCCAACAGTCGCTCCGATCAAATGTCCAAAACTCTAAACACTGTACTGTAAAGCTGTACTAACTTCTAAAGATGGCTCGAACTGATACTCAGGATCAGTATCGGTCCAATATTGGTCAAAATCTGAGAATTTAACCTCAAACCAACAAGCAAAAAAAAATCCGATAACACCAAATGCTGAACTTTGTGCGACATGCTGTAAACAGGGATAGCAATGCTGGATGAGAAAAGAGGGTATCAGATCAGGATCAATATTGGCAGATACTCTAAGTCGCATGATCATAATGGTGTCTCAACTAATTTCTATTAACGTCAAGATCTGTGGTAAAACTAACACCTTAGATAAAGTAACTGTAAAACTTTCATGATCAGAGACCAGTCATGTAATAGATCCACCTGGTGTTACTTTAAATCAGGAGCTCGCAGGCCAAAACCAGCCCGCTTGGGGATTCTACATGGCCAGCTTGATGAATTGAAATGAAAAAAAAATGCTCAAACACTTCATGTCAAAGATGTTTTTGTCAAATTATATCCATTAAATATGATTTTTTTTTTGTTATTCTCGTGCTTATTTGCATGAAAACAAAAGGGGGAAAACATTGACTTATTGTTGTTATTTACAGGTAATTATGTTATGATTGTACTGGTCCGGCCCACTTGACATCTGACCAGGTTGTTTGTGGCCCCTGAACCAAAATGAATTTAAATAAATGCCATCGTGCCGGTAAACCAGTCAAGCTGATTCCTGGTCAGGGTTTTCTGGCCTGTCTATAGTAACTTTACATTTTCAGCATGGTCTCTTCATTAGTATGCACAGACTCTCACATAGATAAATGTGCTCTCCAAAGTCACCTTGAACGGATTTGACTATAAAACACCAGATTTCACCTTTGCTTCCTCTCGCTTCCTGCTTTTGGTCTCCAGAATGATGTAAATAAAGGATGCAAACATTTAAAGCAGATCATGACTGGAAGCTGCTAGGTGGTGTAAAATACTAAAGAGGTACCATTGGAGTAAACCCCTCCTATAGCTGCATCTGTCCAATGTGAACTTAGTTGATCTATTTACTTTTTACCCCTTGTCCTTAGAACGTCCTCTCTTTTTACCAGCTATGCATTTAGTCTTTCTTTTTTAAAATTGAGAAGCAATGTCCTCATTTGCATGATGATTTAGGAAAATTAATCCAAAGTATACTGAATGTTTAAAAGGCAATGTTAAATATCAAAGCAGATATGTTGAAAATGTATGATGAAGAGAGTTAGAAAAGAAAAATGTGTCCCATTTTCATCTATCCATTCATCCATCCATCTATCCATCTATCTGCGTCTGAAAGGATGATGGTGTAAAATATCTGCCAAATTATCAGACTACACCCTATTCTTGTAAAAGAAAAAAGAAATCTTTCTATAGTCTAGAGCAGAGGGTTCAAACTTCTGGCCGGGAGCCACTGCTGCCCTGCGAACCCCCAGCCAGGGTCTAGATGTCAATAAAAATTCAAATTTTCCCTTGAGGTAATTTGTAAAACTATAATTTCAATAGGTTTTGTCATACATTAAATGTTTCAGTTACTCATCACCAAGAAAAAAAGCTTTTTATACCGCCGTATTATACAGTATTTATATAAACTATGACATTCTGATGTGTAGTGGTTACTGGTGTGGCCCTACATTAACCTCAGTTCGAGACCCCTGGCGTGGAACTCTTCCTGTAATCATGTAATCATGTGACAGCTTTTCTCACATTGTTACGTCACCTGACTGTCACCATTTAACAGATGCTTCCACCCTGACCCACTGAAAACCTATTTAACCAGGAAATGAACATGCCCCGGGCGACTCCAATAAGACATGGTATACAGACCATGTCTTTGTGGTAACCATATGTAGACAAGCGTGTAAAGCTCTCGCCTATACTTACAAAGCTCCTTCCCCCTGAGTACAGATGTTGTGAAAAGTGTTCCTGACAAGGCGGTTAATTTACCCTTGGGCTGTGCCGGTTGCCCTGAACCGGGAGTTCATCACGAGCAGATGGGAGGTAATTGGAATGGATGCATGCAGATGCTGCGGTGCAGCAGAATGGATTCATCGTGTCAGGCCTGTAAATGAACTGATGGAAGGACTGTTTGTTTGTTCAGTAATTAGGCAAAAATGTGTTTTCATTTTTCTAATCATCCAGGAATTGATGTAATGGAAGCTGGTCCAGCCTGTTGAGAGGTGTGGGATGCAGACTGGCTGGTTAGGGAGAGGGGAAAAAAAGAGAGAGAGCTGGGGTAGAGCAGTTGTGCAATGTGTAATGGTTCCCAGAGAAGGTAGATGGAGATTAAGTAAGCAGGAGGAGGGTGGCTCATCTAAGCAGGTGCACGTGTGCTTAGCATGCAGGAGTAGACGCACACACTAAATGCATGGGCCTACAGTACGTGGGCATATGAGGAACAGGAAAGACTAGACAGTGGGCAGCTGAGAACATTTTCTGCCACCCACCGTGACTCTGTCTGTTATTTACACCATGTGATTGTTGTGAAAACACGACCCACAGACCCCTGATTCCAGCACCTGCAGGACTGAGAATTTACCGACCACAAACTGACGAATCACAAGTCAGCGTCAGTTTCTCAGGGCAGCAAGGAGGAAAGGCACCTCAGTGATGTCACCCACACTGTAGGAATGGACACAGCGTCGCTTTGGAATTGATGTCACATAATATAAGAGCATAACAAAATAGCAAACATTGCTGAGTGTTTATATGGACGCCATCTGTGCCCGGATTATAAACTCAGATCAACTGCAAATGCAGGTTTTATGGCGGAGGCTGACGGAGATTTGTAAGTTGTTTACTGAAGTGATTAAAACAATTCTATTAAAACTTGTGCTGTGTTTTTGTCATTAACTCCACTTGATTGTTTGGTCAAAGTGAGCCTAGCAATTAAGAGGTCAGGATTCAGATTGCCGGTTCTAATCCTGCCCCGGGGCGGAACTGTGGTAAGTTCAACATGCACCAGAACTCCCCTGTTCTTTTTGCTAGAAAATGATCAAAATTCAAATGCACATTTGGTTGTGTGTGTATTCACAATGAAAAATAAAGTTTTTTTTCAATATAAAAACCTCTATTAATAGAACTACATAAAGACGCAGATTGACAATTTGGACACATTTAAAGCTGTGTGCTGTCAAATCACCCATCATTCACTGTTGGCACAATGTAAAATGTACAGAGGCGGTAGAGGAGGAGACAAAAAAGCATGACAGCGATGTGACTTCTTGCTGTCGCTCAGGAGTGGGATGCTAAAATGTACAGAGTGCGGAGAGAAAGATGCTAACTCATAAAATTTTTAATGTTGACAGTTCCAAACCCTGTCCGTCCCTGAGAGGGTAAACATGTGCCTGACGTGTTCATGCAGCTGCGTGACAATCAGTGAATCTCTGTTTTTTTTCCCTTCTAAAACATACTGCTACAGTAGTACAGAGCTACAGAGCCCCCCCCCCCCCCCCCCCCCCGCTCTGTACTCCCCATTCGGTCTTATTCATAAACCAAGGCAATACCTGCACTCTGGTACTTAACCAGGGGCCTCCACTCACAAAAGCTGGATGAAAATATCAACGAAGTAAATCGATGATATGAAAAATATTTTTTTGTTTTTTTTGTGTGTCACTGGTTCCACTTTGTCTGACACTGAACATGCAATTCCAATAATAAAATATAGATACATTCTAAATGTGGTCAGTCCATTAAAGGACACATGCATGGATGCATTATTTTAGAGTGAAGACATGAAGTGTCTTCAGACGTGTCCTGTGGGTTTGTGAACCTTGTGCTTTTTTTCCAAAGAAAAAAAACCACATTCTCATCCATCCATCTGCTTACCTATGAGGATGAGGATGCAGACCAGTAGTGCTATAAGTGCCCCAGGGCTGAGAGCAGCACTCATGACATATGCTGTGGCGTTGCAGGACTGGATTGCTCCATCTGAAACAAACAAATGAAAAAAATACAGAGATTAAATGGATGATTAGGAGAGTGGGTGGAGGTAGGATTGATGGACGGATGGATGGATTGATGCAAAGACAATGGCTGGATTTTGAGTGGATTGATGCATGGGTGGCTGGATGGTTGGTGGATTTTGAGATTGATGGATGGGTGGCTGGATGGTTGGATGAAGGATAGGTTGTGGGTCAATGGGAGGATCAATCAGTGAACATTGGATAGATGGGTAAATGGGTGGGAGGGTGGGTTTTGGGGTAGTTTGATGGTTGGGTGCATGGATGGATGGGTTTTATGTTGCTGGGTGGAGCGATAGATAGATAGATAGATAAATTAATTGGTAGATAGCTGGGTGCTTGGTTAGATGGACAGAGAATTGGAAACATGTTTGACGTTGTGAGTCTTTCGAAGCCTCTTAAAGTGACAGTGTAGCACTCACCTGGGTCGCAGCCACAGATATGAATCGTCAGCGTGTTGGTAGAGCTCAGAGACGGGGGTCCGCTGTCCTCCACCAGGATGGGAAGGAAGTAGACATTCTGCTCGTGTCGGTTAAAGCCGGACCGCTGTGTCATGATGCCTGCTGTGTTGTCTGGATTAAAAAACAGAAAGTTGCATCAGATGCGTGTGTGTGTGTGTGTGTGTGGAGAGACATGCCTGTGTTCATCCCCTAAACCTCCAGTCCCCCTCTATCTCTTCCAGTCCTCACCCTTTGGTTTGCTCTGAGCCCAGTCCAACCTTTTTCTTATCAAATAGGCATAAAACGAATGCACTTTTCCTCCTGAATAATTTACCACTACTGTGATAAAAATAAAATATAAATATCTTGAATTTTCATTAATTCATTCCTTCATTCATGTATTCAGTGGATCTTTTGGAACAGTCAAAAATGTTCCTTTTTTTTAAGGCAACGATTATACTCAGAAAAATTGATATTGTATACCCCACAGCTCAAGGACTCCAAAGAGGAGTAGAGTCACCTTGAGGTTAACCTCTTTAAACGCAAGAGGAGACTGCTTTTGTGCCATTCAAATTCACAAAGCAGATATGGGACACTGTTGGAATTCAACTCCACCAAGTGTATATATTTAAAACTCCTTTGCCAGAGACATAGATGAATGTAACGCTGCTCACAAGAGGATGCTTTGACAGATAGAGTCAGAGAGGCTTTGTGGGGACTTGCACATGTAGGATAGCGACCATCTATCTCCAGAACATACATCACCATTACCCATGTCAGCCCACAGCTCCTCTGGCACATGTAGTACAATCTTCATATTACAGTTTATCTACAGGAACACTCTGCCCCCGACTCTGTCACCCTGACTCACAAAAAACATTTTTCCACGACTGTGTGCATTGGAAACACATCAGCTTCAGACACCAACATGTAGACACCATTCAGGGAGTTCTTTTTTCTTGGACAAAATTTAAAGATACCATCTATAAAGCACACTTCTCATGTAGTCACTGTTTAACGTGATAACTTTAATGGTATAGCATTTGCTTGTTTTTTTTTTCTCTTTGTTTAAACAACAGTTTGTGGAGAGAGTCATTCATCCTGTTGTGTCACGACGGAAAGTCTGAACATGATGTGAGGCCATGATAAGAAAAGGGAGTGACAGAGAGTGACACGGTGACAAATGTGTCCATGAGAAGGGAAACCACCACGAAAAATTCCGGGATATGCTCCCAAGGCCTTCAAAATAAAATCTCTACTTTTAAAAATTAGTGAAAAAAAACATTTACAGGGTTAATTACCTTAAACCGGTCCGTGTGTCAATTGATACAGGGCAGCACAGAAAGAATGCATAACTTACATTATTTCTGTTTTATTGTTTATCTGATTCCAGATTCTCTCCGGCGCATCTGTCTTTGACTCACACCTGCATGCCAAGATGCTTGTCTCGATCACGTCTTACCTACATCTACCTTAAAAAAGGTCAACATCTTTGGAAAGTTTCTTAGCGCAGGCTAAAAGAGTCAGTGAGGAGACAGAAGCAGAGCCGACGCCTTCGAAGAAAAAGAAGGCTACTTCTAACAGACAATTCCAGGAGTCCTACTTGAAATATGGATTTATTGCAACAGGTTGTCCCCACGTACCTAGCCTGCACTGCGTAATACGTGCGTGCAGTCTCTAAAGAGGCAATGAAGCCTTCAAAACTTCTTCACTTGGAGACCAAGCATTCTGCATTAAAAGACACTGCTAACAAAGCTGCCACACAGTGGCTTAACGTTTAGCATTATATGTAGAAAATACCAGTTTTTATGCTGGTCGTATCTGTTTATTTAGTTGTTAGATTTGGGAACGATGACCATGAGTTACTTCAGCAACAGATTCTAATAAACTTGGAGGTCACTTCTGACTTCCAAGTTGATTTGGACATTTCCAGCTTCTTTAGAACAACAAGAACATCCATCAGATGTAGATATGGACTCAAAGCCAGGGGCACAAATTGCTAAAGCAGGCCTCTCAACAGCTTGTCCCAATAAGAAGGCTGCATCCGTCTAAGCCTACGCAGCCGACAGGGACTGGCCAGGGCTTCTGCTGCCTCAACGATGCAGTGCTATTGTCACATGGTTTTATGAAGCCATGTTTTGTAAACCTTCAGAAAATCAGCCTTTGTAGCACACACAACCTGTGTCCATGTCTCTGTGGTTGTGATGAATATAGAAAAAAAAATTGTTTGTCTCATCAGGATGCAGGACACTAGGAAAACAAGACCTATATGAACTATACAGGTACCGTCTATTTATTCTGTGTAGTTAATGTAAGGCAAGATAACGAAAACACACTGGAGAGAAGAACGAAAAAACCAGAGTCATCCATGTGACAACAAAAAAAAAAAAAAAAAAAAAAAAAGAAAAGAGACAAAAAGTCCTGGAGAACCATACGAATGGTTGAACCCATTCTGAGTCAGTAACCCATATGCCCTGTGAGTCATCAGTTACTTTGCTGGAATAATTGGCATCCAACGGATGAAGGTTGCCGACATCAAAACAGGAGCGCTCTCCAAGCCTATGAATGTTTTCACCCTGAATCCTGCTTCCTTATATGATGTAAAAAAGAATGAGTCCTAGATCAGTGAAGTGGCCGGCCTATTTTCAAAGGATGAATTACTAACTTTCAGAAGCATGTCAGGTTGATTGCCACTAAGGATGACGAAGCAAATAAATCAATCACAGAATAAAAAGACCAACCAACATAAAAAAAGCTTTTTGATTGAGTGTAACAGGGACAAAGTAGCTGATGTAGCCACATATGCAGAACTGAAAGATGTCACTGTTCAGATGCACTTCTAAGAACAAGAAAAACCCTTGGTAGAAGATTGGGAGAAAATCAATCGATCAGTCTAACACAAAAAAAAAACGAACTTCAACTGCAGTGATGACGATGCCCTCAGGCTGTCTCCTTCAACAGTGATGACGATGCCCTCAGGCTGTCTGAGTGAAGAGCAGCAGGTTTTTTGAGAAATTTTTAAAAAACATCAGTTTTGTTTTTGTTTGTATAATCTGGAAGTGCTGTTATACCATACCATACCATATCGTACCGCACAGTACCATCCCACACCATACAGTACCGTACCAGACCATACCATACTACACCATACTGTACTATACCATACCACACCATAACATACCGTACCATACCATACAGTACCGTACCATACCATAAGCTACAAGAGTATGCAATGCTATGAGCTACAATACAATCAGCCCAATGAAATGATACAGGAAAGCCAGAACATTTGTTCAACACATTTTACAATCCTATAAACTCAAAACCATAACTAAAAATACACACATTATATGGCCATCAGAACATGGTGTTCTCCTTAACATTCCAACATTAATTATAAGATTGAACGGTGCACAAAGAGTTATTGTGTTCATGTTCTTCTCCAGCATATGTGTTCTCTCTGGCTACTCCATTTTCGTCCCACAGTTAAAAATAATGCAGATCAGGGTTTGGGTTGATCATAAATCATAAATCAGACACTGACCACAGGTGTGTGTACATAGTTGTTTATCTTTCTACGTAGCCCTGTGAACAAATGAAGAACTCCAGAGAACATCGGGAATCACGCACCATTATGATGCCTGGAAAAACATACAGTAATGTATTACATACTGTATGTATAATATAATGTATTATATATGCACGCATTTACTTCATACGTAATTTCTTCAGAACAAGTCTGTTGCCTATTGAAAAGAGTTATTTAAAAAACTGCTCCAAAGTTTCATTGCCGCTGGAATAAAAAGGTCATAAAAGTAATGTCCAAGTAATAATAACAACATAACAATATAAGGTAAGTGGAAATGCCTTTGGAATAAAGGAGAATACCTGATGTATTGTAAGACTTTATGACTTTATGAGTTAAAAAATAAAATTCATAGACAGGATATGATCTTGTTTAGGTTCACCAGAAATTAAGCAGAAAACGAACAAACAACAGGTTTTGGTTAAATAAAACAACCTAATAAAAGGGAATGCTGCAGCAGCAGAGGGAATGTGCATGGTATATATTTTATAAAAAATATAAAGATTTAATTAAACACACCAGTAAATGTCCAAATAAAAATGAACAGAAGGAAAAAAAAAAGTTAAATGTTCAATCCCATAAACCCTCCGCAAACATTACTACAGAGTCTTGTAAGGCAGAAGATAAACCTACTGCCTATTTCCATTTATGTCTGTCCAAAATAACTGTACGTAATCACAGGAGGAAATTGAAAAACGTTTCTTGTGTCGTGTGCTCTTTGGGAAACGTTCGTGTGAGGCGGACGGCAGAACCTTGCTGCCTCCACACTGTGACATTTTCCAAGTACAGGCTGCTCCCCTGACATTTCCCTGGTGTCAGATCAATCTTAATCCAACCAGATGTCACATTCACTTAGGTACACACTGCTAACCGTGGCATCTGCACGCAAGTTAGAAAACAAACAAACAAACAAACAAAGAACCTAGAACCTAGACAAAAAATCCACCGGAGAAGAAAGATTTTTATGAGTTTTTAACAGTCAAACATGTCGATAACACTGAAGAAGAGGTTTTGAAAATCAACTTTGAAAGGAAGAAAGAAAATAAATCTACACAGAGCCATGTTTTCAAGGTTGTTGACTTTTATAAAAGCTTAGTAAGCAAAGGGCTTAGTATTTCTACTACTTTAACACTAGTACATTTGTTACCTATGGAAAAAATATCTTTCGGCACCTAAGATACTTCTGTAAAGGCTGGAGATTTTTCTCTCTTTTAATCTGCTTGGTTTTTATTTAAAGAGAACTATTCCTGATGGTTTTTGATTCAGCCATTTGGAAACTTAAATGAAAAAAAGATATCGACATTCCTGGCAGTCATTTGGACAGTGTTAAGTTGTTTTTTTCATCCCCACAGTTATTTAACCGACTCAAATTTGCCTCCAGATGCACATTTGCAGAATGCCCTTAAGGCATTTAATCCAACACTCAGGCTGCCAATAAAACTAAAAAACGTAGAGATGACATAAACGCTTCCATATCCACACGATTTATATATGTCAGTAGAACTCGCCCGACCGCGAGTATTCACATTTTGAATCCTCGAACTGAATGAGGAAACTAAAGTAACTGTACAGGTCAAAGGTCAAATCCACGTCCACCTATGGACCCCAGAGTTAAATATTCTGATAACGACACATCTTCTCAAATATTCTCCTTTTGCTCACACAACTGCTGTGAGCGACACCTGATCTCCTACCTTTGACATCCCGGAGAGTGAAGTGCCGGTTACCAGACGCTTCGGGGGCCAGGGCAAAGAAGAAACGATGTCCAGACTGTGGTTCGTCCTTATCCACCACGCTGATGGTGTGGATTAACTAAGAAAAACAGGAAAAATAAAAAGACAAGTGGGAATGTCAAGACTTTTATTTTAGAGTGGAGATACATACTTCAGACAGGAAAATACCTCCTTTTCATTATGTATATGTATATATTATGTTTGTCAACAGATATAATTAAATGTTTACAGGAAGTTTTTTCTTCATTTGTACATAATTGTTACCACATATGTTTGCGTTAAGTAGTGTCTGTGCGCCGAATACATTTTGAACAGAATACATTATATTTTTAAACAGCTTTAATGCTTGGGGAAACCTAAGTTCTCTGAAATTTGCGCTGCCGTACGCCTAGACTGCTGGGGGAACTCCCTTGGTACACTGAGCACTTTATCAGCTAACCAAATAATTTAAATGTGTAAACGGAATATCAATGTTAAAAGGTATAATTATAACAATTATTTTGTAGAATCAAACTGTATTAATCATTGTCCTCTCTGTGTTCCCGTCTAATTTCTAGTGCAAAAAAAGATGGAAAAATGTTAGCAAACTCGCAACCGCCTGGTGATAAAATCGCAGCCATCTGTTAATTTTCAAACTCTGTTTAAAAAACCAGAAATGTAGCAGCATATGCTGTTTTTTGGAGTATACATCATGTCTCTCATCGTGTCCTCCTCACATCTTTTCTTTACGTTATAAAAGTTGAAAAGTTGCCTCCCGTTAGAGTTCAAGGTTTTCTCAACCTCTGAAGTAAAGCGGGTTCGGTCTGTCGTTCATTAGCAAAATGGCTAAAAAATGTATGTCAAACACAGACGTTATTCATCAATGATGCCTTTACATGATTGGTTCAAAGGCCTGACATAATAGACTAATAAGACTTTTATTTTGGATTATAGACACTATAGACAGCCACACTGAAACGTTTAAAGGTCAGATAAACCAATAGTATATTCAGATGAAGTATAAATAATCAAATAAATAAATAAATTGCCTCTAAATCAGAGAGAATGAATAACCAAACACACACACACACACACAATACTTCAATCTGTCTACTGCATATCTGTGTCTTTCGTTATCTGCACTTGCCCTGCTGTGATTTGCACTCTCTCTGATTCCTCCTCCAAATTACCCCCCCCTCCACCCCCCCGCTCTCATTCTCATTCTTTCCCTTAAATCAGCACTCGGCTGTGAAACAAAAGTATTCTCTTTGGCTTTTGCCCCCTTTTTGTTTTGCGGTTGTTGCAAACAAATACAGTATTCTCTTCGGCTTTTGCCCCCTTTTTGTTTTGCGGTGTTTACGCCCATGTGGGTGAGGCAGCATCATTCATGGGCAACGCTGCGTTGAAAATCTCACTGCAGCCTGTATCCTGAACCACTCAGAGACATCGATGTTTGCTCGCCCAACAGGCTCAGCCACGCGCTGCACCTCAGCCCATTAGGGAGTGTGTTTGGGATGAAAGGGCTTACTTTGTAATTAGAAAAATGCTAGGAGTTAATTTAAACCTAAATCTAATGCGTTCTCTAAACAACGCCACACATGGGAAATACAGGAGTGTGTGAAAATAAAACGAGATTTACAACCGGCTGTTTTTACCTGTAAAGGCTACTTATGTAAACTGACCAACAGTCTGTGGAGGGCGGGGGTGGGGGTTCTTCTCCTTCATGTTATTGGACCGTGTACCTCATCTAACTGGACACTGACCTTCTCCATGTTCTCCTACACTGGGTCCGATGACCATCTCAAATCCCTTCCAACGTCATTTTTAAGCTGGGGATTGACCCCACCCTCACCCAAAGCTTGGATTGGCTCTGAGTTATGATCTTTTAATTTAATGGAGACCATAGAATGTTAAAAAAGAGCAGATCTTGAGACTACTGGTGCCTCTGATGGCCAGTCCCCTGTACTGTACCACCTTCCCCCGTTAACTGCAGAGTGGCCTCAGCCAAACCCTCCTCGCATTCCAGCGCTTTAAAGGATTAAGAAGTAGAAGATAAATGAATGAAATGCTCAGAAATCTTCCCTTTGTCCTTTTATCTGCCTAATAAATGTCCACACCCAGTATTAAATTTCAGATTCGTTTGCTTCCAGATTTTAACTCCAGCGTTGTAGCTGATAAAGCACAATGATTTCCTTTCTTTCTCTCGCCCTCTCTCACCCCCTCCTCCCCCTTTGTATCTATCAAAGGTCCATTCTGGTGTATTGCGTTATATACTACTTGTTCTGTTGAATACCTATATGCTCTACATTTTGCACAATGGCTCTGCCATACCCCCACCGCTTCCCCCTCCCGCCCTCCACCTGCTTCACTTTATCATACGGTGTGACTCAGTCATACTGAGTGAATGGGTGTTACAGACACTCACTGAAGGAAAAGAAACCAGCGCCAAACTAAATTCACTGCAGTGGCTACAGAGCACAAATTGTCTGTATTGGAAAATTGCTTTTTGGATGATTGTTACCGGGAATAACACTTTAAATCTCAGACATGAATTTGCTCCCCTTCCTACAGAACCTGGTTATTTCTTTTATTGTGCACATATTTGATCTCAAAAATGAGGTGAAGCACTTTTTCAAATGTTGCAGGAAGTTTTTTTTTCTCTCTCTCTCGCTCAACAGATCTGGTCTTATCTTCTCATCACTTTCCCTTTTCCTGCCTTATTTTGGAAGGTGAAAGAATAATGAGCAAAGAGCAGAGCTATACGTTTTGTTTTCCAGCCCATGTCTTTGAAGACGTACGAACAGCAGTGAAGATGTAATAAGTGAGCCGTGATCTGCGTTCTGTGTCTGTGCCCTCAGCATAAGAGAGGAGGCATGTGTGTAGGGGTTTATTGAGCTGCTGGTGAGGCTCCCTCCAGCACAATCACCTAATTAGATTTTTATCAGGCGGGACCTGTTCCTGATCTCCCACAAGTTCTCCAATCTCCAGGAAGCCGCAGCAGACGAGGACCTCCCAAAAGTTGAGGTCATCCACACTAGGTGTCTGCAAAGTCAAGGCGGCAGAGGAGGAGGCCTTTTATTTATTTACTTATTTATTTATTTCTCTAGCGCTCAGATGGCAGTGAGTGGGCAATAAATAAGTAAATCAAATATACCCAACTGCAAAGGAGAGGCAGGCCAAGAGATGTTCAGCTCAAAAGCCTGAAATGTACTGTTGGCAGCGAAGGCATGTTTTCATTTTGGACATCTCCTGATGCCCAGTGAATTAAAATGTATGAGTAGTACAGCTCTAAAGTACACTTGACACAGTTTCCACTCGGCCGCTCACATCGTCCCAGAGCTATTAGTAATGGTATTCCTGTTACCGCTCAGAATTTATGTTTTTTACAAGGATGTTTGAGAAAAATATCTGTTTACAATATATAAGTTGCATACATGTGTGCATTGTTTCAGTCACTAGTCTGTAAATACAAAGCTTATGAGCTGGTTGGGCTCACTTGTTTATTGTGTTTATTGCTAATATCTGACTTGTTAATTACTCGCGTACATGCACATAGTACAGGTACAGTACAACAATTCTTTACTAGTAGGGTTTAAAAATATAAGGATTTGTCTTTAGCTCCACATATTTTTCTCCATTTTCTTTTTCAGTAGTAGAAGCTGCTTCATTTATAATAATAAATGATAAATAATAATAAACATTGTGTCCCTTAACCCAACCTGCAGAGCCTACCACAAAGGAGGTGCCGTGATATGCGGTTCCTGTTGGAATCGAACCAAAACTCTCTCATTTGCATGGCTGGTATGCTAACTGCTACGCAATACATTTACATGTATGCATTTAGCTAGATGCTTTTATCCAAAGTGACTTCAAGCCTGCTGTTCTTCTAGGAATCAAACTCTCTGCTCTCTGCTTCCGAGGCAGGCATGCTAGCTGCTACACTTTGGAAGCACCAAAACAGCCATAACAATTATCCACCACTTTGTAGGAATCATGGGAGAAGTCAGCCCGGACAGTTAGCCAATTTTTCTGGTAACAATATGGATTATTCTGATGCAGTACCAATTTTGGCCATTAGGGGCACCCACAGACAGCATTCTCAAGATGCTCATGTTTTTACCATTGGATGCTGTCAGCCAATTTAGATCTCTGCTAATCCCAGCAGTCACTGTGGTTGACAACGTGGACAGTTTATGGGTTCGTCACGTACAAAGACTAACAACCGTTCACACTCACGTGTTCTCACAGTAAGGCAAGAGTCTGAACCACTCCCCCACCGAACGGCCCATGTCGTCCATTACCTTAAGTCTACCTTAGATCCTAACATGATTATTTATTTATTTAAACATTCTTTCCAGCTCAGGTTTAAAGGCTGGTGACACCAAGAGAAGGTGGGTCACTGTTTGGAAACCTACACTGATCCAGCCACTCTGACTTCTATCTACACACATGGTGCCATATGAAATCTGTCTATCTGCATTAGGTCTGATAAATACCAAGGGGAGGAAGCAGGAGGCTGAGACACAGAGAGAGTCGCCCAGGTCACTATCATGCAGACGGATGAAATTCTGGATGGAAATTAATGTGGTCACAAAAAAAAAAAGAAAGACCTCTGATTTTTTTTCTTTCCCCTGCTCCTTTCTGATTCTCAAGTTGTAGTGCAATATCCTCTCTCACATACCCCAATTCCAATCCTACGTTGACCATAGTATTCTTATACACAGCATAGTGTTTATTTACCATTACATTTTTTTAATTTGATGAAAAAGCAGCTCTATTATATTTTAAACATTTTCTTACTTTTTTAATGTACAAAAAAAAAATCTACACACTTAACTTGGAACTTTTTATTGTGTATTTTGTTATGTAAGTGTTTCAATAGAAAACACCAGGTCAAATGAGAATAAATAAAAGTGCAGATTTATGGTTAGTACAGAAAGTTCCAAGACAAATTAAAAGAAATCATGAAAAAAGCAAAAATATTTTCTGCTATGTTCCCTTTAAAATTCTAGAAAATTCTTCTTTCTGCATATCACTATAAGGGAATTCAGTTCCTTTCTCAGTTCCTTTCAACTGTCTTTCTAAGTTGTTGAAAAAAAT